CAATTGCGACTTATTATCACGCAATTGTAACTTATTATCACGCAATTGTGGCTTACTATCTCGCAATTTTAGAAACATAAATGACATTTTGTGTCTAACTAATACACTTACAAAAGAAATGATAAATACAATTGAATATTTGAAGGAGTATCTTCCAGATTGTAACGACGATATTTAATTCTATTTTAAATGCCAACTTTTGCAATGTTGAAATTGCTTAGTTTCTGAATGTAATAATACAAAATTATGTTTTATTTTTGCGAAGTAAATATTCTATTATTTGTTCTTTTCTCTTTAATGTGATGTTTCTATTTTTGTTTATTTTATAATTTGGTGTATGTACTGCTAAAATCAGTATTTTTTACCATTTATTTTTGTATGACAGGAGATTAAAAATACTGAGATTAAAACTATTATACTTCGGTAGGATCAATTAATTGTTCAACAGTAACCAATCCCTTTAATCAACCAAATTAAAAATACTACAGTTTGAGGCGTACCTAAGTGTCATTGCCAGTATTTCTAGTTAGTATCTTATGTTTCTATTTGGCCTAAAAATGCATTACTCAGAAAATTTTATTTCGTTTTACCATTTAAGACTGTTCCCTATTTTTTATTTTTTTTTAAGTTATCTGTTTCACTTTTTAATAAACTATTTGCATTGAATGTTGATATGTATTTAAATGTTATTTCAAATCGTACATCACTGTGTACATAGATGTGGTTGACTGTATAACAACAGTGCTTCACAGTGAACCAAGTTGCATTTTGTTTAAATTGCTATGATTTCAACAATTTTGTTTTTACAACTATAGTGGTCCTTACAAATGAAATAATATAAGATATTCTTTATTTATATACGACATATTTTCAGAAATTTAACTTCAATAGGAAATATACAACAGTAATCAAAAATTTGGATGGTTTTCTTTTGAACAACTGCCTACATAATGATTGTTTTTTATAAATTTTAAAAATACCTAGGTAAGTTAAAAAATTATCATTAAAAAAAAACCAAAGTAGTTATGTGTATTACTTTATTGCATATTAATAGTGTTTCCTTAGTATACCCCACCAAGACTCGATGCGTTAATTACACTGACTGGTTCCATAGATGAAACTGTTATCATCTAAAAATTGATCTTCATTTTTAACAGCAGTTCTTCTCAAAAATTTTTGCATTTGTTCTACAGTTCCATTTTCAGTACCCATATCAGATCTAATTTTTCTTGGACACCCACCATATTTTTCAATATTCTTAAAAAAAACCCGAAAACAAAAATTGCATCCAGTAATTACTGAAAAATATATACCATTTTTCCTAGTGTTCCTTTTTACCCACCTGCAATTATTTTTGGATCATTCATAATTGAGGATGCTTTTAACCAAATGATAAACCTCGAGTATCCATCAATAGCGCCATTTATTCATATACCATATGGTTTTAGTTTATCACATGAGTCAAGATGCCATAAAAAATTGGGACCAGTATTATTATATTGCCTTCTATGCGGTCTTCGTCTTGTTCTTAGTTCTACTCCAGAAGGATCTAAGTTTTGTAATATTAAACGAACCATATTCTGCGAAACAGAGAAACGGAGTTGGGAAGAATTTTGTAACTGATGGTCTATAAAATTTACTAAAATAACAGCTCCACTGAAATATTTTTTTCTAAACAACTTGTTTTTGTTTAAAATCCTCTTTAGTTGTCGTTTTGATATATTTGTTGAAAGTCTCTCTTTCAGTATGTTTCAAATTTCACTATAATTACATCCATTTAAAAAATAGTGCATAATAAGATTATATCTTGATCTTGAATCCATCGTCTAATGTTGCAAATATCTTAAAAGATGGTTAAAATTGTAAAACAACTTAATGAATTATACATATGTTTAAACTCAAAACTCACCTGAAGCTACTACAAGTTCGAGAATGGAGAATCACTTCACTGTTATTTCACGAAACATTGACCAAAGCTCACCATTTTAAGCAGACATGTAACGGCAAAATAACTCACAATTGCGTGATAGTAAGTCACAATTGCGTGATAATAAGTCACAATTGCGTGATAATAAGTCACAATTGCGTGATAATAAGTCACAATTGCGTGATAATAAGTCGCAATTGCGAGATAATAAGTCGCAATTGCGAGATAGTAAGTCACAATTGCGTGATAATAAGTCGCAATTGCGAGATAGTAAGTCACAATTGCGTGATAATAAGTCACAATTGCGTGATAATAAGTCGCAATTGCGAGATAGTAAGTCACAATTGCGTGATAATAAGTAACAATTTCGTGATAATAACTCACAATTGCGTGATAATAAGTCGCAATTGCGTGATAATAAGTCACAATTGCGTGATAATAAAAGTGGCCCCAGGAAGCTTTCGTATAAATTATATCTGGGTTATCGAATTTTGTTTTCACACGGCTGTTACAATTACTGACCACCGTCTGTCTGGCACATTCAAACCCTAAAAAATTACACTATAATTAGTTAAAAACAATCATTTTTCTACTCTAGAAGTTACCTATAATAAAACTAAGTTGATTTACTAAAATACTCTTTATAAAAACACTTTAAAAAAGTTCAGTCAATTAAAAAGCTACAAAAACAATTAAAAAAATAATAAAAACCATGTACAAACGTATTTATCTACTCCTATTAATTTATATATTAATTATTCAACTGCTTTTGAGCAATTAATAGTATCAATAAACAAATAGCGTGAGTTTTAATAGTAAGTTATTATAACTCACGCTGGGCTCCTACGATAATTCGGTATGTCTATAGTGTGCGCAGTAAATTCTTGGAAATTTTAAAGTCGATAAATGTTCCATTGGCGTAAAATGTTAGAAAGATTTTTTAACAACTGGAAAAGAATGAATAATAATTAAAAGATTTTAAAATTATTAAATTGTCAACGACTCTCAGTAGGCGAAACAGTCAATTATTACATTGAGGGGAGTAATGTCATTTGATATTTTAACAAGATAATTTTGACGTTTTCAAATCAATTTCTAATAATAGTGCTAAAAAAAAGATGAATTTAGATAGTGAAGATGAGATATTATGTACACCTCCAGAAATAAGAGAGCTAATAATGCATTACAGAATTTATTACCAGAAAAATCAAAAAACAAGTATAAATGTGTAGACTAAAATTTTCAAGATTGGTGTAACTCGTTTACAGAAAATGTACCTTTGGCATATTTTAATGAACTTAGCAATAAATATAAAGCATCGTCTTTACGGACTTTCTACTCCTTGCTAAGAAACACACTCAACATAAATAATGAAATTAATATATTTATTCAAAGTGCGTTTCTTAAACGTCAATCAGAGAAACATATAGCTAAAAAGGGCAAAAAGGCAAAAACATTTACTTCAGAACAACTTAATAATTTCATAAATGAAGCTCCTGATGAGAAATATCTGGCGACAAAGGTAATAGCTTTTACAAAGATTCAAACGTTTTTATCATCTGGTCAATTATATAATTCTTTCTCGATACTTGTATCTTAGTATTTATTGCTATAGTCGTAGATAAAGTATAGTATTCAACTTGCGGTAATGGTCATAACTCACGCAGATGAAGTTTGCAGCACGAGCCGCAGGCGCCATCGTTAAATAATATACTATAATAACACAATAATTTATAAATATCTGGTCCGGCAATGACGTAACACAGTGAAACGTACATACTAGATGGGATTGGCTAATCCTAATAGAGAAATTAAAATGGCCGTTCTTACCACCTTTTATGACAACTTAAGATCAAATAATTATTCTGTCGATTAAGACATTGTTTTACGGTTACTACTGAAGATATTAATGTTGATTGTAGCCAACTCATGACATCAATTTAGTCACGTTGGATACGAATTACTAATTAAAAAAAAAAAAAAAACATCACGATATGAGTTCTCTTATTCAAAACGTCATATGTTTTCTATTTTAAAAAAGATTTAACAAGTCAATATTTTTGATAAAGAACACCATTTTTTTCTAAAAAATGTAAATACGTCTTGTTATATTACGACGCATAGCTAGAATGATCTTAGTTTTGCAATCGGCTCTATACCTACTTTTGCACACCGCTCATCTAATTTTACAACCTTTAACAATAATATTCTTCGATAATTTTCTAAGATTAGTTTATTTGAATTAACATTCTATTGTTGCCTCATTCACATTACAATAAAAGAATAATTATTATAAATTTTAAATTATTTTGTTTCAATTTAAGTTGTAGTTTACTTGTAAAATTCTGTGAGCCAAGATGATAGAACTAGTTGGTATATATCTTTTTATTTTTTCTTTCGTTGTAACTACTTTTATTTTGTTTCTTTAAGTGAATATTTATATTTTTTGGGTTAAAATAGTAGTAATTTATTTAACAATCATTTGTATTTTTCAAATAATATTGAATGTTAATCACCACGTCATGTATTCTTACGCCTCAATACAGCGCTAAAATCTAGATTTTGGGTACATTCCCTATCTCTTTATTCTATAATCATTAGTTCATAAGATATATTGCTTGTAAGTTTTTAAATTGTCATCTTTTATAATAATTATCCAAATACAATTAAAAACAATTTAGATAATGGAGTATCCTGAAATGCAATTAAAAAATATGCCTAATTTGTGCAAGATAAAATTTACACTATAAAAGTAATACAAGAATAAGTAAGAGATTATATTATTCTTTACTATTTATTTGTGGAAAATAGTTAAAATGCCATCAACGGCCTGTCGAATAATTAAATTTAAAAGGCAGTTAATTACAAATTTCAAACGGACTTTAACGATTTTACAGTTGCATGTGGAAAGCAGTTAAAAAACTATCAACGGCCCATCGGATGGAACAAAAATAAAATTTGTCTTCGGTGAAAAAGATTTGTAGAGATGAAAATATTTTTTCTACCTAGTCAGCTGCTGAACTATTTTTAATTCAGTTTTTACAAAAATATTAAGTAATGATTATGCTTTCAGTTAATAAACACTGTCATCAGAATCAGGCAGCTGGAATAGATAAATCAGCTAGAAGAAAACTTATTATGGCCAGTATACTCTGCGTTATATTCATGGTGGGTGAAGTAATAGGTTAGTACTGTTATTTTACAAAATTTGCTCAAAATAAAATAACAACTTTTTCTTTTAGGTGGTTACCTATCAAACAGTTTAGCCATAGCCTCTGATGCGGCGCATCTTTTAACAGATTTTGCAAGTTTTATGATTTCATTATTTTCACTTTATATGGCCAGCAGACCATCCACTAAAAAGATGTCATTCGGTTGGTATAGGGCTGAAGTCATAGGAGCTCTAACTTCGGTACTATTAATCTGGGTCGTTACTGGAATTTTAGTTTATATGGCAATACAAAGGATTAAAAATAAGACTTACGAAGTAGATGCAGAAGTGATGTTAATCACTTCCGGTGTAGGTGTTGTTGTTAATATTATGTAAGTATATCAATCAAAAATACTGAAAACTTGATGGATTTAAGTTTATTATGATCAATTACAACTATTTACAAGATGATTAGTATTGGTTTATTAATGTTTTTAGAATGGGTCTCACATTGCATCAACACGGTCATACTCACGGACCAAAAACTAGTGGAGAACACGGAGAAGTGAATATTAATGTTAGAGCCGCTTTTATACACGTTTTAGGAGATTTTCTACAAAGTTTTGGAGTATTTGTTGCTGCTATTGTTATATACTTTAAAGTAAGTAAACATAACTCTTAACCCATCAATGTAACCATTGTTTTCTGGGCTCGTCTAAATTTGTTTGCGATAATATTGCAACCCATTGGCTTATTGTGTCATCTTTGTACTTTGTACAATTTTGTGTAAGACCTTGGATCTTGCATGACGTAGTGCGTGTAGCTACATACTATCTCATCTCATCACATTTATCATTCTTTCCGATAACCTTTATTTCCGTGAATGGACGTTGCCAAGAGTCAAGTTTGTTTATATTTGATGATTGTCATCGTTATATTTTTTACTTGTGAAATGAAAGATCCCACACTGGTGACCCCGATAAGGAAAGCAATTTTTTGATACAAGCTAGCCATAGAAGCCGCAACAAGAGTAAGAAGCAGCGGCAACAAGAGCGACAGGACCCGAAAACCACTTTTATTGTACAGGAGGGAGTTTAATATTTTCCCGTTAGTTGCCACAAACCAAAATTCTTCAACATTATTTTCGCTTTTGATCAATACTTTTAAGAATATTTTCATTTAATAGCCAAATAAAATAAATAAGCAAGCAAACAAACATGCACAAAAGCTTCCAAAGTAACCAAACACAGCACACAACAATTTAAGGAACACTGATTGCCCTAGTATACAGGGTGGCCACTTTTTTAATGGGATTGTATTAGTAATTCCCAAACCATACTAGTTAGAAAGTCGGTTAAATGGAGAAAAAGTTGCGTATCTCGAAGCCTACTCTAGCGGTGAAAATTAATCGAAAATAGCAAGCCCGGTTCTTGAGATATTTCGATAAAAAGAAATTCGATCTTTTCGGTTTTTTGGTTATCGTTCATTTATTTTCAGAACTACTAAAAAATCTTCTAAAGGTTTTTTATTTGATAGTAAATTTTCTTTGATTTGACGTTTTCATATTTTGCATCAAACTTTTCGTATTCTCCGGACCACCCTCAACTTATTTTTTTTAAATATGGACCTGAATATTTTATAACATTATTTGAATTATCTTTTCATCCTGCATCCAGCGGTGGCATTCAATGACGGTTTTTGGGTAATATGGACCGTAATCCAAATTTTATTGGTACGGATCTGTATTGATTTTATAATCAGTGTATAATACTTCGAACATAAAGTGATTAATTAGGAAAAAATAAATGGAAGAATCCAAGAAGAAAAAATAAGCAATAGCATAAGAAATCTGAATATCAGAATCGCCAAGTGTATTGAAGAAGATGGCGGACATTTTAAACAATTACTCAACAGTGGCGGTTTGCCCGTAAGGGCACTTGGGCACGTGCCCTAGTATAATAAACAAAAAAAAAGAACTTACATATTTTATATTTTCCTCAATGCCTATTATTATTTTATCTAATATTTAGCGCAAACCGCGTTGGCACGACACTGAGCGACGTTCCGAAGATGGGCACAGGATACAGTAAATGTGTGCCTCTGTTGTTTTCTCTCTCATTATGATGCGAAAAACAATGACAACGACAATATCGCTTAGCAAGAGATGAACACATGCGATGGATTATACGTCAGAAGCAGGGCGCTGTCCCAGATTATCCTACACCAGATACGAATGTACGCGGTGGCAATAGCCTAGAGCTCCCACCACTTTCTTCCTAGATCCAGAGGAAGAAATAGTACGGTCGATTGCGTTGGCTCCAGTTTCAGCAGAGCTTGCGACCGTTGAACGTTTAGTCCGACCGCCTAGGTTACAAAACATCGCCGAACTTGTGAATTTGTGAAATTTATTATGACGGGATATAAATTTGTAGATGTTGTAAAAATAGAGATGGGATAAAATTTTAGTTTTTCTTTTGGTTTTGTCTGACTTTTTCAAATTTCAAATCTCTGTTTGCATATTTAAGAGTATAAAAAATTCTGAGTCTTATAAATAATTTAACGGTGTACATTTTCGCAAATTGTTAGCAAGGATGACCAAATTCTATTTTGCTCATCTCAAAAAGGTACGCGGCTTAGTTGACAAACTATCAAATAGAGATATAAATATTTTTTCTAATTTGAAAATAAAAAGAGAAATTTTTCGCTGGGAGATTTTAAATTGCCAAACACCTTTTCCTCAGAGTCGTATGCTTTAAAATGCGTTAACAAGTTAGAATTGTTAAGTAAATTGCATTCTTCTGAGAAATGTACGCAAATTTCGCAAGAGTGGATATGTAATGATTTTTTGATTGAATAGCCACTACATAGTTAAATGCATTTTGAGTGGTCACATTTAGCTCCCTGTAGTCACATTCAGAAATCGTTATTGCCCCAACTGATTGTTCTGAAATATATTTAATTTTCATTAAGCGGAGAACTTGTTTACCTAAGGGAAAAACGAATCCCGTGATTCCTTTCCAGTGTGTGCCCCACTGCCGCTAGTGTCCACGAGCCGCCACTGTTACTCAATTAATTTTATTGATTTTTTCAAATAATTTGATTATAACTTACAAAAACTGAATTTCTTCTTGTTATTATCAGTAATTGCGTTTTAAAATTTCTACATTACTATTGTTGTTGATGAATTGTTTAATTTTCGGAGAATTACATAAATTTTGTAAGAATTGACTTAATTTTTTATCTAGAGGCATGACATTATGTCGATTCAACTAAAAATGGCTGAAACCAGGAGTAAATTTAATAAAATTGTGTAATACACCGCTGGATGCAGGATGAAAAGTTATTTCAAATAGTGTTATAAAATATCCAGGTCCATATTTAAAAAAAAATAACTTGAGGGTGGTCCGGAGAATACGAAACGTTTGATGCAAAATATGAATACGTCAAATCAAAGAAAATTTACTATCAAATAAAAAACCTTTAAAATATTTTTTGGTAGTTCTAAAAATAAATGAACGATAACCAAAAAACCGAAAAGATGGAATTTTCTTTTCTCGAAATATCTCAAGAATCGGGCCTGCTATTTTGGATTAATTTCCACCGCTAGATTAAACTTCGAAATAGGCAACTTTTTCTTCATTTAACCAACTTTCTAACTAGTATGGTTTAGAAATTACTAATACAATCCCATTAAAAAAGTGGACACCCTGTATACAACTAGCATTTTTATACAATAACTTAATTTTCTAAATGCAACAGTATTTACTAATACATTATCAAAAATAGTATTATTTATAAAGCAATAATCTTTTAGGTAATTATTAATCTAACCTAAACCTAAAAAACACTTTTTATTATACTAAATAAATTATACTAAATAAAAAAACAACAAAATCTAATTTATTTTGTATAGTAAGGGACATCTATATATAGTGTATAACAGACAAATGGAATAAATTCACTAGCTCAATTACTGTGCATATTTATAGAAACGCTCGTAAATTTGCTTTCATTCTACTCAAAATCGATGTACTTTTCAACCCTCTTCGAGGCTTGCATGCGAAAATGGGGCATCTAAATCAGTCACTATCTGACGGTCTATTAGGTTTCTAAATTTATTTATTATATTGTTTTCATCAATAATATTAATATTTTGTATATTGACCAACTAAAACATTATTTATATTAGATACAACATAATCTACTAATGTTACATAGTATTAGTTATACGAGTAGACTTTGTAATATGTTGGTCTAAACCATAAGCTAAAGAAATATTTTTAATTTTATCACCATAGAAAGTATTGGACAGTAGGTCACATCACATATTTCTCCTTAGTTAAGGCAGTGGAATTTTCATTATTAGTTGCGATATTATTTTTATGGTTGTTTATTCTTTTATGTAGATATTGTTTTGTTTGTCCAATGTAAGTGGAATTACAGTCTTTGCAATCAATTTTATAGACAACGTTTGGTTGATTTATTTTACTAATGTTGGACTTAAAATTCGAAAATACCGTTTAGTTGTATTGTTAGGTTTATGAGCAATTTTTACACTATAGGTATTTAGAAAACATTTTAAATACTTGTTCAGAAAATCCTTTTACATAGATAATGTAAGAATTCTCGAAAATGAACCAAATCTCAACAAAAGAACAATCCTTGAGATGATACATATTAAAAAAAATAACTCTGTAAATAATAAAACGGACATAAAAGATTTGTCAAACGTTTATTTTAATATTATTAAATAATTGCAAGCTTTCCAATCCTTAACTGTAACGCCACTGGTAATTTTTAACTTTGTAAAAACTCATCTTTTTGTTTCCCTACTTTATCGTGTTAATCCAAATAATTATTTCTAATACACCTTCACACGCTGAAACAGAAAAATGGGGTTTCTGTTATTTAAAAAAAAAATTAAATTGTTTGTAATCGTCCCCATGTTTTAATAAATTTTGACTGCACCCGAAGATGGAAAAGTTTTCCGAAACATATGTAGTGCTGTGCTAAACAATAGAATTTAAAAACGACCGAATAAACCAAGGAAGTTTTTTATTTATATAAAATTCTGCTACGGTCGAGAAATTATTCTTATTCAAATAATTACTTTGTGTTATCCAAAAGTTTTTAAAACTTTTTTGAATCAAGTGAATTTATTTGTTTGATAAATGACCTAGCCAGCCAAGTTAGAAGAGTACTATCAAGAGGATGGCTGAATTAGTTCAATTTGTGTTGGGTTAACTGTGCCGTCACTCGGTGGATACTTTTAAGGCATTTCTTTATAAGATTACCACAACATACTTGGTTACAGTATTGTGGTTACGTCACACGTACCGTGGTAACCTTTTATATAATGTCATATGTAAAATTTAAGTTTGGGGATTTCTAAACGGAATGTGAGGTCAAATTGACACTGTCACTAAATACATAAATGATCACTTAATGATCCACTTATGCCGTTAATATGTAATTATTTTTTAAAAAATGTTAATTTCCGGTTATATATTTGAAAACTATCTTTGGAATAGTCCTGTGTCTTTGGTTAGTTTTAATAAGTCCCCTGCCAAGTGTTCCTAGGGCATTCTTTCTGGTTCTAGACCGAAAAAGATGAGACACTGCCTAGAAAAAGCTTCGCATTCGAGGATCACATGGTATGAGGTTTCATCCTTTCCCATGCAGAGTCTACACGTAGTGGGATCATTGTGTAATACCATCACATGAAGGTGTTTCATCAAGCAGTGCCCCGTTAGTAATCCGACTGTAGCACTCCAGAATCCAAGGGCACTATATCTAAGAGGATATCAAATAGAAGAGGGAGATTTACCTAACTTGAAGCCACTTCAAATCCTACACTTCCTTGAGAAAATAGGATTGGAAGGGTCGCTATAGGCATTGAGACTTTTCCTTAGTGCAGTGGCGACAGAAGGGGGCACAATAGATCTTTTAGATCGCAGTGTATTAACACCCCATTCTCAACATAACATAACATAGTAATCCGACAATGGTGGATATCTGAGGCCTTGCGAGGTGTAGTGACTCAGTACCCATGCGTGGGTTTGGTCCCCTTAGCATGAGCTTACTGATTCTGTGCCCTCTTATCTGTTGCCAGTGAATTTGGTGTTTTGTGGTTATTCACCTGTTCACTGCCAGTCGAGCAGAGGTTTTGCTTATCCCAAATACAGGTTCTGTCCGGTAAATGGTAGTTCTGGCCCCTATATAGAATATATCTGTTATTTACCTAGGCTTGGAGAAAAAAAATTAAATAAAAGTTGATTATGATGTCATTGTCATTCTCTATAATTTTTATCATAATATACATTATTTTCCTAAAATGGTCCGTGTTCGGTAAATTTGAAAAAAATGTGCAAAATTCGAATTTTTAAGAAAATTGTTTAAAAGTGCTTGTGTTTTCATTTTCTATAATTTTTGCCCTATACAAGATTTCCCAAACATGGGCAGTATTCGAGATATTTAAGAAAATAATTTTGACGGATAAAGAGAAAAATACCATATTTTAAACTTAAGCTTTAATCCATTCTGCTGTGAGCTGATAAAATTTTGGGTATAGTCGATGCATCTGGGGGTGTCGTTTTTTTACTTTAAGGAATATCTCTCTGTTATTTTACGATTGGAGAAGAAAACCCTTTGAATAATTGTTTGCAATATCATTCTCTATAATTTTCGTTTCATACATAATTTCTCTAAAATGGACTATAAGGAAAAATTCGATGAAAAGTGTAATTTTTTAATTTTTTAGTATTTTCATTGGTAATAAATATATATAAAAAATGTTTCGAGTAAGATATGTGTGGAAAATGTATTTAGTTCAGTCTAAACATTTACAGGGGTGATACAATAAGTTGTACAAAATAACCGGAAAAACCTATAATAACTAAACTGGAAAGTCATGTATTGGCCACATCAGATTTTTAATTATGTAAAAATACATGAATCTTTACAAAAATATTGAGTATTACAAACATTTTTATATATCAATTTATTTTAGCCCAACTTGATGATTGTAGATCCGATATTAACATTCGTATTTTCTGTATTAGTTCTAATAACTACATTTGCAATTATTAAAGATGCTTTGATGGTATTAATGGAAGCATTGCCAAATGGTATTAACTTTGAAGAAGTTATGAATACGTTATTGAAGATAGAAGGAGTTGAAAGGGTTCACAACTTAAGAATATGGGCTCTAAGTTTGGAGAAAATTGCGATGTCTGCTCATATTGCTATAAGTATGTATGGTGATATTAAAATTATTCTTAACTACAATTATTTTTATATTTTTACTCATAATACCACTAGTGCCTAAATTATTTACGGAAATTTTTACAAACTCACGAATATTTTGAAAATGTATTGTGAGTGAGCCAAAATTTCAGGATAATCATTTAGGTACCTGTAGGATTCGGTAAGAACATTTTACATGAATTAAAATGACTAAAATCAAATTTGCGCGAAGTTGGACATGCCAATTATGAAAAATTCAATTATTATTTTAGCTTTGATAAAAACACATATTATCAACTTTAGTTTTTTAAAACAGAAGCGTCTCTCAAATGTCAAAAAAATATAGGGTACCCGCCAAGAGAAACATTTCCATTTTACTGGTTGTCATGGAAACGTTTTAAAATATTATTATTTGGCTATAAAATAGAGGTGTAAAATGTTTCACTTAATTTCAATTCATAATAAAACACGATTAAATGCTTTATATAGTTATTCTACATTGAAGCCGGCGTTATCGCCAAACAGCAAAAACAGTTCAAGATGCAGAAGCCAAATCAATTGTACAGGATAGGGTGATGTCCATATATAATGATAAATTTTATTAAATACATTGCACTCGCTTTGCAAAACATAGGTAAAAATGTGTACAGAGAATCTATGTGGCGAAGAAGTGTATATGAACATTTTTAAACCAAGCCATCTGTTAAATTTAAATGATTTTTGTTTCTAGGCTCCGGAACAAATCCTCAAAATGTCTTAATGGTAGCAACAAAAAATATACATGAAAAATATAATTTTTTCGAAATGACATTGCAGATTGAAGAATTTCAAGAGGTTATGGAAGATTGCACACAATGTAAAAATCCTGATTAAAAATATGAAATACCTAGTTGTTATTTATTAAATACTTTTTTATATAAAATAGTTCATTTGTTTAAAAAATTCATCTTAAATTGCCGTTTTTTATAGACCTCCCTCTAGTTAATACAGTGGCGCAGCCCGAAATTGAATCTGGGGCATCTTAATAATGGTTTCCAGTACAAGCGTACCCAGCGAGGGGCAGTAGGGGACAGCTCAAATATATATGCTATATTGTGTATTCTTTTAAAAAATCTTATTTCTGTGCAGCTCAAACTCAAAAAGACCTATAAATATTTTCGTTTATAGACAAAAAAATTATGGATGTGTTAGACGTTTATCTTCAATGTAAGCAAATAATAAAAATATTGCATGAAGACATAAATGTCTCTTTCGACTGTATCATCTTTTCGGAAACATGGTTAATTCCTGATATTACTATTTTTAATATTCCAGGATATATTACTATTTACAATGAGGGTAACCTAAATCAGAATGATGGTGTGATTTGTCAAATCCAATGTGTATCATTCTTACATGTATCATTCTTACAAAACAATAAGATGTAACAACAGCTTCATTTTGCAGGTGAAACTAAATTTTGAGAATACCGTTATTATTATTAATGCTGAATCACCAACTATTGTCGTAAATAATTTTATAGAAGAGTTAAACATTTTCCTTAACCAAGAAAATAATACTTAGGATTATAATTTATTTATAGGCGATATGAACATAGACATATTAAGTAATACAGAAAACACACAAAGCTATCTTGACACAATGAGTGAATTTGGTTATTTATCTACCCTTCAAAAGAATTCAAGAACATGTCTGGATCATATTTTTATTAAATCTAATAAACAAAATTATGAAAACATATTACCATTAACTATAGAAACAAATATCACATCATTTTACAACTGTAGCACAGATTATACTTCCAAACCATAGTTTCAATCAAAATAACAGTTCCACTAATTTAATAAAAATAATCAATGAAAAAAAAAAAAAAACTAAAAAATACAGAACATCGACTGGAATTCTTTATTCGACTGTAATTACGTAGAATCTGAAACAAACAAATTTATTGACACACTGAAAAAATGTGTTCAAATATCTACAACGAATACTCTAATCAATTCCATTAATAAAAAAAATAAATTGTTTATCCATCCGATGAAATCCTCAAACAAAATTACCAATGAAACAAAAAAACATTAAATAAATTATTAAAAATATCAAAAATTGATTATTACCGTAATCAAATCGAAAACGACAGAAATTCAAAACCATTGTGGAACGCTATAAATGAATTTTTAACAAAACCTGAACGTACACCAATAAATATAATAAGCAATGATAAACATGAATTAATTGCTAATCCTATTAAAATAGCAGAATTGTTTAATGAATATTTTATAACAGTAGGTAAGAAATTGGCAGACAAAGTAAATAGAAATCTAAACTACATTGAGACGAAGAAAACATGCACACATTCAATATTTATATGTCCCACCGATGAAAAAGAAGTTAAGCAGATCATAATGCAATTAAAAAATAATAAATCTCCGGGCTGGGATAGTATAAAAGCGGAAGTATTGAAGGGAATTAGTGATCATAATATTACAAAACCAATAACATATTTAATTAATTTATCACTAGAGAAATGCCATTTTCCATCAGCCTTTAAACTTGCCACAGTAACCCCAATTTTTAAACAAGGAGAAAAAACAGTTACGGCTAATTACAGACCGTTTTCAATAATTTCCTGCCTGGCCAAAGTATTCGAAAAAATCATACAGAAGAGGTTAAACAAATTCTTGGAAAAAAACCAGTTATTATCTGACTCGCAAGGTACTTACTAAAAAAATCTATAATAGTCTTGATAAGTCCATGCCATCAATTGGCGTCTTTATAGATTTGGCAAAGGCATTCGACACTATAGATCATTCTATTTTACTAAATATTCTAGAAGACATGGGTATAAGAGGTATTGCACATAAACTTTTTAAAAGTTATCTGACTGATCGAAGTCAAAAAGTAAAAATAGGTAATAGTTTAAGTAGCGCAAAAATCATTACTTATGGGGTGCCCCAGGGGACGGTGTTGGGACCTATACTTTTTAATATTTATTTAAATAACCTTTTCCTTCTCAACACGAACTGTGATATTATGAGTTTTGCGAATGATACGGTGTTGTTTTGTGAAGATAACAACTGGTTTAACCTAAAGTTAAAAATAGAAGACGACTTGAAAAAAATTAAAAAGTGGTTTGATTTCAGACATTTAGTTTCTACAGCAACGCCCTACCTAGTTACAAAATCGGAATTGGTAATCAAATTGTAGTTTCACCTGCACGTAAAATTAAATATCTTGGCATAATGATAGACAATAATTTAAGATGGGATCAACATATAGAATACCTTCATAAAAAACTACGTTATATACTATTTAAATTTAAACAAAAAATAATTATATATAAAAATTTAGTTGAATCTCACCTTAGTTATGGAATAATAGCTTGAGGTGGCGTAACTAAAACTTAAATATCAGCTCTCGACAATCTACAAAAGCGATTTCTAAGAACAATCCTTAACGCTGATAAAAAGGGCGTTACAGAGTATGAATAATTTTTAGAACATCAAAATATGCCAATGAATTCAATAACAATGAAATATTTATACCAGCGTCATTGCTGACTTGCAAAGGAGTGGTAAAGGATTAGGGGCTAGTGAATAGTTGTGGACAGTGTTTAACATGAAGTGTATTATGTACCAACTGGATCTTACATTTTTACATTTCATGGAAAGACATTTCCAAGGTATGTTAATCTCTACTCAAATAGGTTAAAAGTAAGAACTTATATTAGACCCATTATACTTTGCTTGAAGTGCTATAGGTTTAACCATGCCACAAAACAATGCAGATGTTACAAATGCGGAACTGAAGTACATAAATCAGAAAATTGTGAAATTAAAACTAAATTCTGTCTATATTGTAGGAAAGAACACAACATTCAGGATCATCTAAAAAGTGTGGAAAAATATGAGGAATTAATCATACAAAAAAGAATTACTGAGATTATGAGGTATCAAAATATCTCATATTATGATGCGAACCAAAAGGCTCCTAAAGCCTTGGTTTCTTTGAACACTTCGTCGCGGTGAGCGGACAGTCCGTCAACCGTCGCGTTTTGACGATTTTATCCAACCAGAGTATTTAAATGGGAATGGTTTTCTTGAATCCGCTTAGCTGAGCAGGACGGCGTCATGCCGCTGATTTGTCACGAAGAGTCGGTTGATATCTGTTGAGTTTGATATCAGCGGAATCGTCGGCGTGTGCGGAGACTATATTGTTATTAATTTTAAAACAATGAGTGACAAATTCACACATACAGATGACATCATGACTTTATTTTTAGGTTTCTTTGAAATTATGTCCTTTATAAAACTCAACACGAATTTAAAAAAATCTGTAGAAAGTCTAAAATACTCCCTAAATTTGGTTTCATTTCCAAAAAGCCTCCGCTGCACAGTGATATTAAAGGCACCTTCTGTATCGCGACACAAAAACAACTCATCCACTGGCTTATTGGAAACTTTGACGGTTGCAATTGCCAGTTCCTCTTCCAACAATAATAACAACGCAAACAATTTATTTGCATCCATTTTAGTATGTTTCGTTTACATTCATAATACATAAACAGCACGTACATATATAGAGAAAGTATCACTTTCTATATTTTCTAACAAACCACCTCGGGCGAAAATTGCTGTCCTCAGCGGTCGACGGACTGTCCGCTCACCGCGACGGAGTGTTCAAAGAAACCAAGGCTTAAGAATCACAACCCAAACCGTACAAGCAATTCTATCAATGTCAAATTTAATAAAAGTTTTAACTCAAAAAATTTATTATTGGAGAGCACATGCAACAATCGTAATGGCAATGTCGCTGGACGATATACTTGAACACAATTTTATATGCCTCAATGATATGGGTCAGCGACCAGGTTAAGCGTCCCTGGTCAGAATAAAAGTATAACTGACTTACTCTTTGTTCTAAAGAGTTGGAACTAAAGTGTTTATGGGTAACTCTTTGAAAATGGTAGAATCCCAGATCATTGGAAGACCCAAATAATTTGTCCTATAGCAAAACCAGGAAAAAACCCTGAGCAATTAGAAAATTACAGGTTCTTAGCCTTACAGTCTTGTGTAATGAATTTGTTTAAAAATTTAATTAAAAATCGATAAGAATATAACATTGTAACAGAAATGTTAATTAATCAAAATCAAAATGGATTTAGAAAAGGTAGGAGTATTTATGATAATCTAATAATGTTAGAAACTAAAATAATACAAGCTTTTAAAAAAAAATCAAAAAACTGGTAGCTGTCTTCCTTGACATAGCAGTGCTTCTCAGAAGTCCCCTCCCCCTCTTTTCTTTTGAACGGTGATACTTAGACTGATGAAATTTGGAGGGTGAAAATGAACTATTGTAAGCTTCTCTACTAGTGATAACAGGTGACGTAATAGGCATCGGTGACGTCACCAGGCAACTGAAACCAATAATATTAAATGGGACCCTATGGCAAGTGACATCTCGTTTGAGAGGTATTTAGAATACCTATTCAGTCAAACTATTTTTTTTGGATTTACGATGTTTTTGATAGTTAAAACAAATAAACACTGAAATTTGAGTTTCGCTTTTAATTAATAAATATTTAAGAACAAGTTCTTATAATAATTGTTCAAAATGTGCTCCATCTACTTCCTGGCAGTAAAACATCCTATTATTAAACTCTTGTCGGACTCGATTAAATGTGTCAGGGGAAATTGCCCTACATTCTTCAACAATTCGTTGTTTTAAAACGTCAATACTGTCAGGAGCTATAGGGTAAACTTTAGATTTAAGATATCCCCACAGAAAAAAATCTTAAAGGTGTTAGGTCCGGTGGCCGAGCTGGCCATTCTATTGGACCGAGTCATCCAATCCATCTACCAGGATATTCCTCATCTAGATAACGTCTTACTGCAAAGTAATAGTATGCAGGATCACCATCTTGTTGGAACGTTATTTTCAAGTTAACAAATTCATCTGGATTATCTTCCAGAATTTGAAGAATTAACGCTTCAATTGCGTTTTCTAACATCTCAATATATACGTCACCGGTTAAATTAGAGTTCAAAAAAGAGGCTCGACTATGTGGTTTCCCAAAATACCTGCCCAGACATTTACTTTTAATGGTAACTGTGTATGTTTTTCACGAAACGTGAGGATTTATGTCACTCCAATACCTCACATTTTGAGTATTAACATTTCCATTAAGGAAGAAAGTACTTTCGTCACTAAAACAAATTGTCCTTACATAGTCTGGCTGTTAAAGAATTTTAGTGGACATATTTTCACAGAATTCCAGCCTTCGGTCGGGGTTGTCTTCTGAAAGTTGATGCACCATTTTTAATGTGTATGGGTGAAATTTGTTTTTGGTCAACACCCTGTGTACTGTACTATGACTGACTCCAAAGGTAGACGCTACTTGGGCTGTGGAAGAAGTAGGGTTTACTAAAATTTCTGCAACTATATCAATTTGTTTATCAATACCAATATTTGGTCGACTTGATCGTTTGGCATCATGAACACTACCTGTTTGTTAAAACTTATGAAAAAGCTCCCTCAAATAAGTCCTCGATATAGGGCGATCGGGGCACCTCTCATTAAAAATACGGTCCGCCGCATGAAAATAATTTCCATTTTCACCAATAATTAAGATAGCTGTTACCATAGATTACTAATGTGAATAGATGGGAATCTCAATGGTAAAATTCTGAGTCGATGTGCTGCCATCTATCAAATTAGAGTGGTACTAAAATTCAATATGGCCGCCACGAGCGGGCTTTTTGAAATTTAACTTTGTAGTAGCGCAAAAATGTAATGAAGAAAATCAAATAAAGCAAAAAAATTGGAAAAATATTTGACTATACTCTGTTTTTAAACTAAGAGGAGCGATTTGAATTTAAGTTGGCAATTCTGTAGACTTCTAATTGGTCAGATTGAAGTCAGTTTCACACATCACTTTTTAGCTACTGTTGACAGTTCTATTTTCGATTCTGACATTTTATAATTTAAGTTTTGTTATTGCTTTGATATCTCATCATTATTACTTAGTTTTTTATTTTATTTTTTTAATAACAGTTCTTTTCAAAACTTTAGTAAGCAATTGTATTGAATTTTTTCGATTATGGATCCTTCTACATCGAATACTATTATAACAGTTCCTCGCGGAGTCCATCAAAACAACGAAAACGAATGAGTTTAGGCTATTCCTCTCTCAGAAAAGCAGTAAATAATAAATATGTACAAATAGGTATTGAATAATAATACGAAAACCAAAATTGTTGATGTTATATCCAAAATTTCTCAAGCTACCAGTAAGTTTTAATCATTACTTTCAAATTAAAAATAATATTAAATACTCAATATTTTTCTTACAGGTCAAAGTCAACTACTTACCGATTATTGAAATAATACCGCAATAATAGAACAATATCTAGTCTAAAAAGTATTTATGGAAGACGAGGAGTTCTAAAAAATTTGATTATGATGATGATAAATGCTATTCGAAGATTAGTACATGATTTCTTTTTCAAAAATGAGTTATCTAGATTGAATAAAATTTTGCAAAAATTGAAATATTTAGATTTGCCACAAATATATTATTCATCTTTATATACTTTCTTGAGATATAATAACTAAGTAAGTTTGTATCTTTGACCAGTCAAATGTACTGTTTAATTATTATGTATATATTTTTTTAGATATTTGAAAAGAAATTGTCAAAGTGTGTTGATAGAACACTATATACGTAGATTTAAAATCCATCAAACAATATAGAAAATAAAACAGACCAAGCTTCTACTTTGATGAAGATCATAATAAGGTTTATCAACAGGCCTGAAAAGCCAAAAGCAGGTGCCTTAATATACGTGCTAATTCTGAAGGTTTGGTAGAAAATGCATTTACCTTGACGAGACGAAATCCGAAGTATTTTAGAATTGGTTTTCTACATTTTTTACAAAGTTTTCTAATTATGCTATGATTGTCA